CTCTCTCTCTCTCTCTCTCTCTCTCTCTCTCTCTTTCCTTTCGTCTCTGCTTGGCCCGCAACGAGCTGAAACGAGAAAACCGGTCTCCGCGAAGAGGGCTAATTTCCGGCCGCGAATCGACTTCCCGTTAGGATTCTGGCGCGGAGATCGCGCGACTCAACGATCGACGAACCGAACGGCCCACGGTTCTAATCGCTGTTCTTTCGTGTGAGAAAGGAGGCGAAATGAAAGAAACCGGGAGAACCGAAAGAACGTTTCACCGCGGAGGAGGACACCCTCCTCCTTCGTGCTCGTGCTTGTGTACGACCGCAGTTGCGCGAAACACTCACACAACCCCTTCTTCTTCTCCTTCTTCGTGTTTATCCATTCGGGACCACCACCCGGCCTGCACGAATTCCGCTTCTCTTGCCGTGCATGTGCCAGACCGAAAGGTGGGGGAGACAGAAACGCGTCCCGAAAGGACGCGTCCGCCGTCGCTCGCGAGCCATTCTTTGGATCTTTTACAAGGCCGTATCCAGCCGGCTGATACTCTCGTATTCGTTGCAAATCGACGAATTCCTCGAGCTTGGATTTCTTTCGTCCGAAGAGTTTTCATCCGTTGAAAAACCCATCCATTCATGCGGTCTTAATAAATAATGGAATGCGGTGTACGTCCGAACCAATAAGGACCAAAGGCCGCACTTACGTCATGGAAAACCTGGTATTGATCGCACCCTAGGCCAATGGGGTTCACCGCCGCAACGGTGTTACCTTTGTCGTTCTGGCGGTGAATTCGAACGCCATCGAATACGTCACGTCTACCGTTGTGACCCGGGAAAGTATGAATTTTCTCGCTCAACATCGCCATTGTCAGATACATCAGATACATCGTCGCTGACGAATACCTTGAATGCAATATCTTGTGTACACTATTGAATATAAATTGTTATAATATTGAATATAAATGTATTTTAAAGTTGAATTCTATGAATTCCTTAATTAAACAATAATGATGTAGAAAATGAAATCATAAATAAGATAAGAAGTTTGTTAAAAACGTTGAAGACATCTTGTCTGATGTGTATATATACTACTGGCGCGCGTCTGACCATCGCTGAGAGTATCTACTGTTTTAAGTAACGATACCTTATATCTTATTTTATTGTAAAGTTTAATCTCTGTTATATCAGTAGGCATTAAAAGCCATGAAAATTTTACATTACTTAATTTTAAAATTTTCATTATCAATCTCTAGTAGAAAGAATAATTGTAGTTAGAAAAAGTTTTAGTAATATAATATAAATTTCTACATGCGTCTATATCGGATAAAAGTATTCTTTGCAAACAGAGAAGAAACTTGTGCCTTGAATGCCGATCAAGAACAATATTAAAATCAGCTGCCATCAGCGTAAAGTGGTAGAACCCTGTCGATCTGTTTTTGTGATACGCAATACACGGTGTCTAAAAGAAAATCAACGATATGTAATCGATATGGAAACGATGTGTATATTTTTTGTACATGAGAATCAAATTTAAAATGTGTCATAAAATCGATTCCACTGTACAATCATAAATAATATATATTTTTATTTTCTTGCACGTACACCTGAACTTAATTCAGGTCGAGTTTTACAATGATTCGCGTACGATTCGACATAAAATCGAATTTACAAAATCGTTTTTACATGTATCATATTTCACGATAATTGCAACGGCTTGCATTACATAAAATTGAAACGATGTGCGGTACGTATATTTACATATAATTTCTTAAGATTACGCAAATAGAAATTAATATGTAGAGAGACTAACTTAAATTGTTAGGAATTTGGCACATTAAAATTATATACGATAATTAAAGCGTCATCAAAGAGCAACGTGAAAACAAGCAACAAGCGAAACTAGAGATAAAAAAGAATAGTTACATGTTGATATAAATACCTTTTAATCGATTTTCTAGTAGAAGGAACACTTTTTCTCAATTTCGTGTAGAATTTTCGTACTTTAGTTTCGCATTAGTTTAGTTAATTATTTCCATTTAGTGATAGTTATTTACATTATTTCGATAAGCATAATTTATAAACAGCGTAATTTATATTGTTGTTATATACAAATGAGATTATTGTGCAAATTGTGCATAACAATAATCATTATAAAGTAATACGATAAACGATCGTATTCGCATTAAATAAAGTGATGTAATAAAAGACTGATGTATTTTATTTCGATCTTATTTAGAACTTTTAATATATATACATATCCGTATCATATACCTTTTAATCATCAATACTTCTTTTTATATTTCTCATTCTGTTTCGTGCGTCATCAGGATCAATTAAGTTTTGTAAATGAATTTATTACGCTTCGACGTAAATTATTAAAATCGGTACGATATAAGTTATGCGCACAAGAACACTATATTCGCTATAATACATGTATACAGTCGATGATCTTTCATCATTAAATTTCTTCGAATGTGCATTTCACTCAATCAATGTGTACATTAATAAAAAAAGGTACAATAAAAAATCCTACAATATTTATTTTATATGCTCATATACTTTGTAGGAAATTCAGTCAAAATGTTATCAAAACCATGTAAATTCTATCAAGTGATATTTACTGAATGTATATATATTTCTATTCTCTTTTTATATAAATTTAAAACATTTTTGCTTATCATGTGGAATTCTCGTTTTGAACAGTATAGAGTCAGCTCGATATTGAGTATTTAAGAGAGGCATGTATCCAAAAACCTGAAATTATCAAAATTTCGATATTTATGATACAACCATTGCAATTGTATTCCATTTTATCGAAATATATCTAAAAACCAATGAGTAATTTGATACCAAAAATAATAAAACTTATTTACCTGAGAGAAGAAATTGATGCATTTGTGCCTTTCTTGAAAATGAGTGTCGTCTTCCGAAAGAGAAACCGGACATCCAGGACATCTGAAAGTCCACCGTGATGTAACCTGAACAAAGAGAGAGAAATTAAAATAGTTTGGCCACAGTAATAAAATATCCGACGCTTATTATATTCACCTTAACAGGTGGTTTCCTTGTGAGATGAGATATCAGAAAATTCATGGCAATATCTTCGCAATTCATATATTCGTCAACCTTGTCCCGTATTGCTTGCGGTAGCCAATGCGTATATAAATATGTGTAATGTTTATGAATGAACGCAGCACCAGTTAAAACCATTGATAACTCGCAGGAATAATTAGAATTATAATTCCAAGCATTATGATAATTCTGGTCCCATGCGTGAAAGCGTCCGGGAAATCCAACCACACGATCTCTGTGCTCTCTCCATACTCTGAATCCAAACATAATTTCATCGTGTCGTAAGTGGGCATCGTCGTCTACTGAAAGAACAGCTTCTGTTTCTATAGCATCAAATGGGAGAAACCTGTTATTTAAACTATTCCGTGGAGCCTTGATTACCTATAAAAAAAAAAAAAAAATCGCTATTTTGACTTAAAGATTACTAAATATTTTTATATAATTTTCACTCTTTCAAAACTTACATGAATTGGTACTCCAATATCAGGCCATTTTAAATCTTCCATGGGTGGCTTTGGGCTGTTCCATACTACTATAACTTTATTTAAATACGGTAATCCATACAATCGAGCCAAAGAATTTATAAGAACTTGCTCTCGTTCATACGTTAACATCACAATTGTAAACTGTTCTCTTGGATAATTTCCACCTAAAGCTTCGCTAAATTCTTTACCCGCACCTCCAGCACCTTTGCCAATTGGTCTGAACCCCATTTCCGAACCTACGGTTTATAATGTATATCGACTACAGTTGCTGTAATTAAATGATGAATATTAAGTATTATTATTTACCAAGAAATTTCGCGTCACTGGGAAGAATGGTATCAAAAGGTAATTGCGGGTACAAATAAAACGGATCCACCCAATCGTTCCAGATTTCATGTCCCTGAAGTAACATTGTGGTATAATTTCTTTTAAAAGAAGGAGATGGATAAGGTGGCTCTAACGGACCCAAACTTTCTTCCGCTTCTGGCTCAGCAATAATAGTATCAGATTTTAAAGGCTAAAAAAAAAAAAGAATTTAATTATTATGCGCCAATATAGAACATGCCAAATCAACATATATTATAACATTTACCACAAAGCTTTCATTAAAGACACTTGGACTGGCAGTCTGAGGTGCTGGCAAAGGTGGTATACCGAGTCGATCTCTAATTACAGCTACAATAGTATCTACCGCACCTTGAGCAGTACTTAAATAACGTTCCCATATTAATCTGCCTTGTCTACGCATACTTAAAAGATCAGTATCGAGAACGGCGCGTAATAGAAAATGCATTTCTGTTACTCTGGCCTAAAATTTCAAATACCTCATAGTCAAAAGTAATATCAAGACACTGTTCAACATAAAGACAATTTTTACCTTTGGCAAAAATATGGCAGCTCGACGCCAACTAATAACTTCACTGTAACTTAATAAAATTTGATCGCCACCTAAAAAAACTGGAATGGATCCTGATCGCAACGCTTCGTATAATCTAGCTTGCATGGATGAAGTAGTTACAAGTGAGGCATTGCTAGGAGCTAAAATTAAAGTAAACGTGGATTCCTTCAATATAGCTTTTCTCGATGAATCGGTTCCACACAGAGACCAGTCAAATATTTCTATTAAATTTTTCTCCTCAGAAGCTGGTATACATTCAAATTGAATGAAAAATTTATCTAACGTTAGTCCTGTACTCATATCTTTAAGATGTTGAATAATAAAATCATCCAAATTATTCTCGTCGACTGTTAGCCTCTCCATATCTACATCCGTATCATCAATATGATGTGTCACGATAGTCGATCTCGGAGATCGCATCTCTCCTTGGAAAGATAATAAATATTTTCTTCTTGCTGGCAACATTTGCGCACATTCTTGCCACACATCGCCACCGGGAGGTCCCAAAATCGGCGGGACAACCAAATCAAAACCTTCGCGAAATTGATTTCTAAAAAATGTTGATTGCACTATTATAGCTCTTCCTGTATCTACTCCACTAAAAATATCACCCGATTCTACAGATAAATCTCTACGCGCTAAGTTTAGCAAAATATGATTTCTGCCATCTCCGCCCCAATAGGGTAGCGCATGTAATTTTTTTACATCTATAGGTTTATGAAATTTTTTATCTACTTTTTGTTGAGTAGAGAGAGCTTCCCCTATGAGTACTATATATATACAGGCTTCGACTGCATTTGTAGTAAGATGTGGATTGTATCCTGTAAAATAAAAATTTTGCCAAAAAAAAAAAATTATAGTCATAAATCACTACTTAACTATATACATACCTAATGTTTGTTTTATCGTAGTTTTTAAAAATCCATCAACATCCCAACCAGAATTTACCACAGAATACTGATCAGGGTCATACAAATATACTGGAAAACCGCTAGTTAATGCACACCGACTGTGATCGAAACAATTATACATTCTACATGAATGTGGAACTGTACTAGGTAATACTATAGGAACAGAATCCACTAATATACGCTTAGGTGGTGCTAACTCTGGTGTATTTCTTTCTACTGCTTCTCTCTGAGCTACTTGTGCTTGTTCAACACTGATTTTTAATCTGTCAAGGTCTGTCTGTTGATGTAATAATTCCTGCTTTAATTCATCAATTTTTTGAGTTAAACTACTAACTTCAACTTGAAGTCTTTGTCTTTTTGCACTCAAGTCCCTTAGTTCATTATTTACAGAAACTTTAATACGCAACATCTCCTCTATTCTCATCTTCAATTGAGAAGCTTTCATTGGAGTAAAATCTTCAAAAGCTTCCAATGTGGAAAATGTACGATAAATATCTTTGTCTGGAGAATCAGACTCCACCTAAAAATACAATGTTTTAGATTTTTAATTAATCAAAGACATAATATGTGCTAAACATAATATATGTGCAATTAAGAACAATACCTTTGATAAATAATAATGAGTAAATAATGGTACAATGAACAAAACGGCTGATGTTAATATTATAATTCTAGATAATTTGATATGTGTTATCCAATGACAAATTTCTCTACCATTTCCATTTTGCTGGTACAATGGAAGTATTTCAAATATACTTCCTCCCATTATGTTATAGATTATCATTCATGTTTACTTCAAATTTCAAATCAATAAACTTATTTTGTAATTGTTTAACAAATTCCTGTCAACACAATCAAAACACATTATTATATTTTTAATTTTACACAAAGTATCAATAATTTTGCAAAATTAATGCGAATAGCAGAACTATAATGCTAATAAACAGGTTCCTTACCAAGAACATGATAGCTGTAGAATTTTGTTTGACATTACTGATTAATAACCTAAAAAGAAAGTGTCCTCTGTTCACATTTTTCGAAAAACTCGTCCAATTACTGTTACAAATGTATCATTAATATTATTACAAAGAGTTTAAGAAATATATCTTATTTTATATACATTCTTAAAAAATACGCAACCATGTACAAATGCATAAAAAGAAAATTGTCAAAATCACAAGATCTTTGATTAAAGGATCACATTGATTTAACAATCCGTTAGAAAACAATATCAATACTAATATCGCTGTTTTTTTATTATTTATTCATTTGCTCTTTCGACATACGTCCTTGTAACTTGCTGTATATATTCATTTGCGTGGGCCAATATTTACGATAGCGTTTTGTTGTTATTTTATGAGGACTTTCATCGCCGTGGCTTCTCTACAGAAGGCAAAAAAAAAAAAAAAAGAAGAAAAAAGAAAGATTTCTCACTAATGCCACCCGACGTAAAGCCTAATCACGTGACGTTTTCGGCGATTTTTTTTATCTGATCGTGTCATAAAATGCGATGTTTAACAAATTAAATGTATGTAAATCATTTAAATAACCCGCTACATTGTTCTCAAAATTGCTTTCCTTTGGTAACGTCTGGTGGCATTGCTTTGTAGCCTTGTTGGTGTATTTGCATTTCTCAGGACCTTCACAGAACATGCGCATGTTCATGTCAAGTGTAGTGCGAAGGAAATAATATTTTGGCTTTCGGGGGCCTAAAATTAGCTAAAATGGTGAGCGCTTAATAAATTTACGAATCATGTTAATTCAGCGATCCCTGTGACTTGATCTTACTGAAAAATTTGCAGTTTCCTTTATACGTCTGCGGCAGTGTGTGAAAAAAAAAGTTAAAATAACCTATCGTGATCAACGTTAACGGTCCCTTTTATAGTAAATATAAATCAATTTCGTGTTATACCTGTTGGTTAATGACAGTGTCCGAATAGTGCGCGATATATCTGAGCTGAGAAACTTCATTGTCACCAAAATGTTTTCAAATTTTCGAAAATCATTCGACGAAGTGCTACTCAAAGCAGTAACAATAGCCACTGTTACATGCAACAAAGTCTTTATTTATACGTTCTCTTCCATGTTGATTCCGGCATTGCAAAAAATCAAAATGCATTGTAATGCATACATACCGTTTACTATCGAATTTCTTGTTTAATTAATCTGGATGCAGTGTTGTATAATGGAAACGCTTACAGTTTCTTTTATATTAGTATTTAGAAAGTGTAACGACAATAATGTAACTAATTTCTGTTACAGCATAAGTTAAAGTTCTCGCAAAGAGATAAAGTAAAAAAATTCATAACATTTACACACACCGGAGAACAAACTGCAATATATTGTTTAGCACAAAATGATTGGAAGCTAGACTTGGCAAGTGATAATTATTTCCAAAATCCAGAAGCATACTGCAAGGAACCAAGAAATACAGTAGATAAAAAGAAATTAGAAATATTATTTAGTCGATATCAAGGTAATTCTGTAAGGTAATATAGTAGCTATATGTGATAATTGTTTACATAATGTTTCTACTAATAATTGAAATAGATCCAAATGAACCTGACAAGATTACAGCAGATGGAATAATGAAATTTTTGGACGATTTGGATTTGAGCCCTGAAAGCAAATTAGTGTTAATTATTGCTTGGAAATTTAGAGCAGAAACACAATGTGAATTTACTAAAGATGAATTTATGAATGGAATGACAGACTTGGGGTAAAGCAAATTTTTCAGTCCTTTTCTTTTTTGTTTTGATTGAAAGAATTTAATTTTTTATATATTATTTCGATATTTATTAAACTTTTTTTTTTAGTGTGGACAGTATAGATAAATTAAAAGCCTGTTTAAATAGTTTAGAAAATGAATTAAGGGATCCTCAAAAATTTAAAGACTTTTATCAGTTTACATTTAATTATGCAAAAAATCCAGGACAGAAAGGTTTGGATCTTGATATGGCAATTGCGTATTGGAATATTGTATTAGATGATAAATTTAAGTTCCTGCCATTATGGTGCCAGTTTTTACAGGTAAGATATCTAATGTATATATGTGAACTTTTATACAATGCAAATATTGATTAGATCTAAAATGGAGGCTCATACATCGGTCAGGTAAATTATGATACAAATAGTTAACGCTATTTTTTAGGAACACCATAAGAGGTCAATTCCAAAAGATACATGGAATTTATTATTAGACTTTGCACTTATGATTAATCCTGATATGAGTAATTATGATGAAGAGGGAGCCTGGCCTGTACTGATAGATGATTTTGTAGAATGGGCACAGCCCCGCATTCGTCAGTCCCTCTAACATTTTTTTATTACATTTTTAACTTCATATAAAAAAAAGCTTTATTTATTCAATTATAAAATCGTATATTCTTCAAGTGATATTTGATCATATTTTTCTGATAGAGCATCATTTTACTTTGTGTACAGAATACATGGTAATGAAGCAGGAGTATTACATTAGGATCAATTTAATGTATAATAACTCTGTAATGTAAACAGATATATATATATATATATATATATATATATATATATATATAAAAGAAAAAATTATTACTTGTAAGTGAAAAGATAATTTCACATAAAACTAGAAAATCTATATCATTTATTCTCAAATTAAATTACAATTAAAGTTTTACATAAGAATTGCATTATTATACATCTGTCTGTACAAAGTAATATGATGTATAATCAATTTATTCGGAAAAACAATGCTAGTAAGAAATATTGCTCAACTACTGACGATATTTGCAAACATCTGAATTTGGCTTTAAAAGCAGAAATCATAAAAATGATCCATTTATAATTTTTTGTAGATAGTAATTTTTAGAAATTACGTTGTTAAAAATTGTTACTAAATAAATTTTACGACACTCTACAGAACACTTGTAATATATATACAAGAGAAAAAAAAAGAAGAAAAAAACAGAGAGAAAAATCTGTATTTTAAACATAATGCTATTCCGGCACTGGTATACTTATCTTTTTTACAATCACCAATTTATATGGTGACAAAAAAAGATTTGTTTCTGTTTTAGTGAAGATTAATATTTATATTGTAACTCAGAAGTATAAATGTTAGGGAAAATAAATTAAGAATTTTTTACAAGTTTAAATTATGGGTTTCATTTATAATTAGTGCAGATTGAATATATTTTTTTATAATGTTAAAAAATCGTGATTACAAATATTTATTGATTTTAAAACATACACGATACATTTATAAAAAGAGAATAATCCTTATGACAAATTTTCTGTTTCTATAAAGTATTGAAATTATAAATAACATTTTAAGTTTCATATTTTTTTCCTACTTCACTAAGCAGTATGTAATTAATGCTTTTGTAGTTTAGTAAAGTACACAAATTTTTAAGACTACTAATCATTGTAATTTATATATAATACAAAGAGATTGAAGAAACATAATGTAAAGAAATATATCTCTGCAACTTCATGGTTAACAGTTAAGGAATCAGAACATTATATCAGTTTAGATATATTGACATTGAAAGGTGCAAAGTAGAGATTTAGCAATATAAAGAATACGTCGTCCAGAAATTTTGGATTATATTTTATAAAAATGTTGAAATAGATAAAATGAAGAAAGTTCTGACATATGCATTCATTACAAAACGAAAAGTCCAGTAAAATATTGTCAGAAATATGTTTGCGCAATGCAAAAGACAAGTTCATAAAAAATATGTATATTATATTTCATTTAAGTGATACTAAAAAAAATACGATCTTCAGATTTAAACTACGTTATTTTTTTAATAGTTTATGCATTGCGTGGACACACTAAAAATTGTAATAGTTTTAGGAAGAAATTGTACATAATGTAAATAAATTTGTCAGTCTTAATCTATATATGTCTAATTGAACAAAATATTCCATAATCATTACACACAACACCCAAATCATAATGAAATTATATATATAAAGTTTACATTTTTTTTTATATATTTGTGTAACTTTTAAAAAATTTACATATTGATACTTGAAAAAGGATTATGTATGATTGTTATTATGTTTTTTGCAACAATTGCCACAGTTGCATACAGGATTACAGCCACAACACGATGAATTGGATGGATATAAAAAAGCTAGCTCGTATTGATTTGCTTTTGTATTGTAACATTTATTTAATACGTCCTTTGTGTACCAATTGCATAAATGTTCCAATTTGTCTATAGTTGTCTGTATTATTTTTTTTACTGTTAATATGACATGCATTACTATCACTTAAAAATATAAAATATTGCAGTATTTATCAAATATCAGCCTTATTATTTATAATTATAAATCCTTACCTGGGCAATAACTAATCCCCGATTTGGATTTGTAATTGTGCTATGACTATGAGAGTCAAAAAATGTTACCTACAGATAAAAGTTTTATGTAACAAAAGTTTCACAGATTTTCAGTCATCTTACCATATTAGTCTTTTCTTGAAATATAAACAATACTGTTTGTCCACAGGTAATGAGAAGCATAAATAAATTCTTAGACTTTGGCGTCAAGTACCATTTGTGTAAGAAATTATGTATATGTTGATATAAACTGTTCTGAATTCTTTCATAAAATATTCGAAATGTCTATAATATAATTAATATTGTTTTATATCCCATGTTCATGCATGTTTTATTATAAAAAAAGAAATGATAAAATGTAAATTTTTTTTATACCCATTCTCTTAGTAGATTTAAATTTCTGCGTCCAAGCTTTAATGCCTCTTCTGTACTGAGATAGGGATGAGAAACTAAACCTTTCTTAATCATCCATGCATGCATAGTATTACCCTCTATCATAGCTTCAGCTACGATAGTAATAAATTCGTGGCATCTTTCTATATCGTATATTAATAATCTCGTTTGAGATATTCGTTGAGCAACAAGAAGACAGATAAGAGTACATGCTTCGCTAACTAAAATAGAAAAATCATATATCATATTCGGAACGTTAAAGATAAAATAAAATTTTACTCGTTTGTCCTGGAGGGAATCGACTTTGCGAAAATTCTTGATTGTACCAAAGTACTGTCACGCTATTTTCGAAATAGTTTTTCGTATATGAAGACAAATAAAAGTTGAGCAACGGTGATAAGGACATAACTCTTTATACAATGTTCAGCTGACGTGTCATTTATTACTTGTAAATTTTTGAGTATGAAAGCATTTTTTTCTTATCTTGGTATATTCTTAGTATATTCTTACAAAAAATTTCATGTTCTAACTATTAAGAGCCACGAAGCTAGCTGAATGATGAATTTCTTTCTAAGTTCACCCAAATTAAATTACAAAAATACATACGTTCATACTGAGCAATTAAAATTGTGGTGTAATTCTCTCCCGAAAATGAGGTATTTTATTCTCTTTTAAAATGTCAGTATTTAGTGTATTTATTGTTTTATCTTGACTTGCAATAGTGCTGACATTCGATGAATGATAAACACAATCAATATTATTCAATTATTTTCCAATTATTTCCAATATTGAATTTATAACACTTTTGTTATATTATTATGTAAAAAAATATGATTACCTTTTATGTTTTGTATTCATTATAAAATTCAAATAGTATTTTAATTATTTTTTCTTATATTTTTTCTTATATTACCGCACTTAATACAATGACAACTGAATATATTGCATATGAATCTATAAGTAGTCATATAAGTAGTGTATATGGTTATAAATAACAGAATTCAATTCAAAAGTTATATTATGAATATAAAGAAAATACCTGTATATGTATAATATGTATATATATTTACATTTAATATATAGTGAAAATGGAAAAACCTAAATGATTTTAAATGATAAAGATTATATTAGTTAAAATGAATATTTTCAAACAACACATTATCATTCAAAAATTTTAATTTCTAAATTGATAACAGTTTCCATGATATTCTGGCGCTTCTTTCTCTTTTGAAATGTTAAACGCCATTAAAATGCACTATTAAAACAATGATACTTTTAATGATATATCTTTTCTGTGCAAGCATACATACACATATTGTCATACTTTTTTAACATTGTCATTAATGCATAAAAATCAGCAATGTATTCAAATTTTTCTTAGTACATATGTCATATTATTATTATCTTATTTCGTGATTTGTTAAAATTAATTAAGCGAGATACGATTTCCATAAAATAAATCATACATTGTAAAAATTAATATTATTTAATTTGTTATAGTCAAAAATTAAAATATTTTTCTAGAATCATTTTTTAGTACTTTTTTTTATAAATGTGAATAAAATTATATTTTTCTAAGTGTATAATACACCTGAATAACTTTGGCAGAGATATTTCTACCATAAAGATGCATTGGAAACTGTTTGCCATGATTAGTTTCCATTGTCAGAATATCAAATTGATCTTATTATATCTAAAAAAAGATGTGTACTTTATTATATGTCACAACTAATTTTAAAGTTAAAATCAAATAAATATCAGTTACCGTTAATCAAAACGATCTGTATGAAGGAGGATAACGCGATGGTATACTTGTGTTAATGTGACGTGACAAGTGTTCCCATCCTAAGATGTTTGCAAGTTCTATACATTTTTCATCAACTTCTTTTAATGGATGTTCTTCATAATAACGCAATAATAATTTCAAATAGCGGCCATAATGATTATTAATATGGGCATGCCATAATGAGAGATTAATTATCTGCAAGTAAAAAAAAATATTTTATTTTTACATATTTTTTCCATAAATATATAATAATAGTTTTTAAATAATAATGCAACCATATTTCAAAACTTCTTGCCTTAATGTCAGTTGGTTCAGCGAATTTTTGTACTTCTTGCCAATGATGTGTTACACTCTCTAATAAATGTTCATATGATTGACGATCTCCTTCTCCTTTTTTCATACTGTGTACATACAATCGCGCTAATGCACATCCTTTCTTTACTAATGCTTTTATCAAGCTAAACTTCTGTTTTTCCATAGTTGTTCTAATCTTTGCTGCATCATCGCGTTGATCACTCTTTAATCCATAATACGCCAAGAGTTTATCTTGATCAATATTTGTAATCACAGCATCTGCGACAGTTATTATTTGATTTGCCAGAGAAACAGATTCTTCTGAGATATCATCATGTGGTACATGACGTCGAGCTTCAGGTGAGTCCAAAGAAATTAGCATGGCAGTGTGGACGGGCAAATGATCAGAGAAGAGATTCTTTAACTCTCCATAAAGTAGATTTGCATATTCTCCAGGTTCTATCAATAATAATATTAAATTAATTATATTTTCAATATATTTCTGCGGATATACACTTGTATTAAAAACAATAGGGTTGTATAAATCTGTTTAAAATAAATTGTTATAACGTATGTAATTACATCCGTATGTATTGAAATAATATTAATATGTAACAAATATTACTACTAATAATTTTTTTTTGAACATCACAAAGGGAAAGATAAATTATTGTAAATTATTTGTATACATGTTACATAATCGTGCATTGGAATAAAACAAATGACAACAAGAATGTTCGATAATCGTTTAAACACAACTATGTAAGGTTTACAAATTTTGAAATAGCGTTTTATTGCACTCTAATAAACTTACTCGTAGAAGGCGCTATTTGTTGAATTGAAACCGGAAAAGAAAACAAAATATTTTTATGACAATAGATCCTATACAATATATAATTATATATAATTAATATTAGATGAGTGGAAAATTTGATTACCCAGCTTCGTAAGCCAACTGCATTTGAAATCTCTAAGTGCTTCATTGTATTCATCCCATTTGGTAGTCTTCTCCTTTGATGAATTGTAAGGGCTATTGCTACTACTGCTGCTACTAGATTTTTTGGTTGGTTCAGATAAAATATACTTAAACGTGTGACAATCCACTTTTTTCCCATTATCATCTTTGCAGAAGGTTAATGAACCCTGTAAGTAACTACCACTTCCTAAGGCAGTACTTTTGGAAACTCTTTAAAATGAAATAAAAAATTAGTGTTTTTAAAACAAATTAATAATAGGTATTGCTTCTCTACTACTAAGAAATGTTATGCACGAAATAACGCGAAGTTAAGATAAAAAATTAAGATAAAAAGGAAGTGTATAGCATTCCTATGTCTAAAAAAGCATACACAAAGCGTACAAATTTAAGTTCCTACGCAAAAGTGATTAAAAGAAGCCTCTAATACGTAAATATACATGTATCAATTTAAATGTTAATATCCAATATTTAAGCCATAAATAAATCAAATATTTTTAAATAATGAAGCATATAAGAAAATTAAATTAAAATGCAGATGCAATGAGATAATGCATAAAATAAAAGTCTAATAAAGAAAAATATTTGCTTTAATTGATATTTTTGGTTAGAAGCATGTAAATGTTTAAAAATGTTTATAAAAAGAATGCTATAGACTTACTTGTTTTCAGCGCTGCAATGAGGGATGAAAAAGGAAGAAAATTTTCTTAGTAATATTTTCGAAACATTTGATTTATAAAAAAAATATGAAATAATTTTTCATAAATTATTTTATATTTTTATAGACAAATATATGAAAAAATAGAGAATAATTAATAGTAAATTCTAACAATTTTCTGATCTAACATCTTTTGAACATTTACATTTCTTGAATAATAATAAACGTATCCATGCACCAAGTTTTATTTGCATAAGAAAATAATATGTACCGCTACATACGCAAAATGAACGTAGAATAGAACTTCAAAATAGAACAAAATTATATATTTTTCTTAATATCATAATAAATGACATTTTTTTTAATTCTTATCCTGTACAACATGTAGAAAAAACACTTACTTGTTTTCATTAGTCAGAGGAGCAACATATAAAGGAAGAATATGACCGGGTGGAACTGAAGCTGCTATCATTTTCTTGCCACCAATAATAGCTTGTGACTGACTGGCATATACATCCAGATTAATTGGATTATTTAGCTTGTGACTTAAAAGGAACGGCATTTCCGTTAATCTATCGAGTAAATCTTTCTTTTCATGACGTACATGCATTTTTAAAGTATAATCGCCTTTTTCTAATTTTTGATTAGCATACTGCAATAAAAGATAATATTATTTCTTTATTATGTAATATTAATTTATACTTATCCTTACTTTGGATGGGTATGCGTCTCCACAACAAATGAGTTGTTTATTAGTATCATAAATCATCCACATTTGACTTTCATATTCGCTTTCATATAATAAATCGCTGAGCAATGCAGCATTTGGAGTTACTTCAGTTGCTTTTGCGCAGTGGAACGTATACGTTAATTGCAATTCATAAATTTGTCGTGAAGGCGGAATAATATCTCGTTCTCGTAAAGGAGCAATTTTTGCGTCAGTGGGTCTGTAACGTTAAAAAAGAAAATACGTCAATTCATTTTCATTGATAAATTTGTTTACAAAATTTTTAATTGACATACTTCAATACTTGTACGGATGATTTAAGACAAATATTGGGTACTACTTCTTCATTCCTGAGAGAACTTCGTACTTCTAAGCGATTTATTCCATCGCCAGATTGCATTGTAAGATTTCCATTTATCATATGGATACCATGAAATTCTATGTAATAATCGACTAACATGTCACCTATGTTTGCCCAATATTTTGCAATAACCACTTCTAAGATCAATCCTCCCTATGAATAAAATGTGTATGTATATCTAAATTATTATTTGAGAATATTGAACGTAAAATGTATGACGATAATACCTGAACAGCAAATGGATGGACAATTTCTGACTGAGAAGTAACAGTGAACAACTTATTAACTTCTAGAGTTTTACAGGATAAACGTGGTTTCAGTTGAACGCTATGAATCACAAATCTTCCAGTTTTATCTTTTTCTGTGCTCTTCAATCTAACCACTGAATTTAATTATGTTAAAACATTCATCTTATGTGTCCAATGTTGTACATATGAAATAAATATTGCAGAAAATGCATACCCGCCCATGTTGCATCTTCAGGAACAAGAATAAAATGTCGACGGATTGTATTTGGTTTAAATAAAATATTTGTATACGCTAAGTCTGGAAGGATCGCAGTTTTTGGCAGTGTTTGTGGTTGCACTATAGTTATTGGTATTTGGAACACTGGTCCTTTTGCAATATCTGTTACATCATATGCTCGCACGCTATAAATGACAATTAGCACTGATATTACACGTCATTGATACGAAAAGCAAAATATATCAGTCCGAATGTATTTACCTAGTTGTATGGACACCTTCGGGTAAATTAAAGCCATCAACTTTGATAGCAAATGCACGAACCATATTCATTAAATCAAGATGCGTTGGAAAATGTACCCAAGATGCATCGCATACCAAAGTTAATTTCAAATTGAAAGCAATTTTGCGTGCTGGGTCTATAAAGCATCCAAATATTATAATAAATCACATCCAACTAAAACATATAGTATTACTGTAACAGACGTAAAATTATACCAGTATTTTCGCTATTAAGGAATACAGGTTCGACAGTAATGGCATAATCTTTTGATCGATCAATGACACCGTTTCTCATGTGAATTCCTTTGGCGTTATTTGGACCACAGTTAATGGTAAATCTTACATCCCTTTCAGGTACATCATTATAAGTAAGAAGATTATCGAACGCACGTTCAACTTGTAATAATCCTGAACCTTGTGCAAAAGAATCTAGGTTTTGTATATATAAAGCTGTGTTTTCAAGCGCTCTTTTTATACTATATGGTGAAAAAGGACAACCTTTTGCAAGAAGTCCTGATATAAGTATTGCTGTAAATTAAACATTATATTAAAATATGCTCTTTTTTATCACAGTAACATATATTTTATTAAAAAACAATTGATATACCAATAGCTCCAGTAACATGAGGGGCAGCCATGCTCGTGCCGTTCATGAGTTGACTTTTTCTTAATGTAAAATTAGGGACACTAGTTATAGCTCCTCCTGGAGCGCATACAGTAATTCCAGCTCCACCATCAATCATTGGACCTCGAGATGACCACGTGTATGACATGCCCGGCATTTTTTCTCTTAAAGAATATTCAGCTACCATCATGTCAGGAGACACATAAGCACCAACACTAATTACACTGTTGGTACTGATATCTGGCGGTGTCCCTATATGATTTTAAAGTGGATGGGATATATTATTATTAAAGTATATTAAAATACATATTTAAAATACATGCTGAAAACTTTCGAACATTTTTATCAACTAACCAATAGTGCATAAAGCAGGTCCGAGATTACCAGCAGACGCTACCCACGTTACACCATGTTTATCGATAACTTCATTCATTAATTCTCCTATTCTTCCCGTGTTAGACCAGTGAGCATGTTCTCCATAACTCATGTTTATTATGTGTATTTTCTCTTTGTGTTTCATTACATGTATCATTGCACGTACTACGGCAGTTCCTGTTTCCATTGTACCGATGCGGCCATCTCCCACACTTAATGAAATAATTTGAGCACCAGGCGCTACACCATTTGATTCAGGATTATCAGGAAAATATGCTGCTGCAATTGAAGCTACGTGTGTACCGTGACTTGCTGCAATATAATGAGAGTAATTGTAATTACGAAAACGTAACAAACTTATGAATCGAATCTCATTAATACCTACAGCATAAACTAACAATTTCTAATGTATTTCCATCATCGTGAACATTAATACTAATATTTAATTGATCTTCAGGTATAAGAGGTGCATATTCTCTTGTCAAAGTGTATTCTCCTAAAAGGACACCAGCTTCCAAGTTACCTTGTTCAGAAGTGTCAATGCATGCTCTGTAACAGAAATAAAAGGATTAAGTTAAATAGCAATATGTTAATAAAGAAAATATTTTAATAGACACTCAAAATATCCAACATATATCTTTACCTCCAAACTTCACCATCATGAAAAACAACACAGTCATATGTAGGTCCTACGTCGGAGTATTTTTTTTCTATATTATTTAATATTTCAACCCTAGTTTCAAGCTCTTCCTTTTCTAGTCTTTCTTTTAAACTGTTTAATTGTGGATTCTTTACTTCAAATTCCTATGTACAATAGTTAAATAATATAAAAATCAAGTGTGTTTTTATTTATTAAAAATTACATGCTCACATAATGTTTGCTTATATTTTAATTAAATTTATTCCTTTGTTTGCAGGCACACTATTAAAAAGTATAAAAAAAACGTTACACAATATTATGTATATGGCTTATGTAATGAATCAATGGCTTGACAATAGATCAAACTGCCAATTATAATTATAGTATTAGATACAGATCACTGTGACACATTGTGAAACTGGCCTCATTTGATTGCATGGTTCAACATACCCAAACAACCCTATCTTTGGATCATATGGTCTAAAAGCCTATTTATTTTTATGCTCTTATTCTTAAATATGATATTTTTAATTAATTTCAGAACCAGTTTAAAGATGATATCAATTTCTGACGAACATGTAAAATTGTTTTGTGTAAAAGATGAATGTTTCTTATTTTCAATACAGTCAAAATGCAATTATTAATTTATTTACTTGTAGTTGTCTAGATGCTTCTGCAAGTGCAGATTTTTGACATGTGTCCCATAATCGTTTTTTTCTTTCTATTAATACTCTTTCTCTTAACTTTCCTGGATACAGTGAATACAAATTCTTTACTCCAATATGATAATGTCCAGTGGGATTTTTCCAACTCGATGGAACCTAAGACAAAGAAGTAATTTTTTTTAGTTATCATTATATATATCTACTAAATACTATTAATCTTAGCCATTATTTGAAATATACCTTTAATTTACGACCACTTATTCCTGTTATATATCCATCAGGTGCTTGCACAACTTTACTAGTATCTACATCTCCAGCTCCACTACAGTCATATCTTTCAATAATTTTTGGTTTTCCATCTGAAGTTTCCTATTTAAGACATATTCATTATAAAATCATTTCCTTTTGTTTAAAAAAATCTTCTGTATCATTTTATAACTGTTATCATACAATGAAGGATAACAAATTTAAATTTTTATAGTAGTGACTAATGCATTCCATTGTAGCATTTAATAATCTTATTAATCTCACAGTAAACAATGTTCAATCATTTACTGTTAAGCCAGAAAAAGTTTGATATATAATAATAAGTAATCAACGATTACAACGGAAATGTACAAATATGATTAAAAAATGATGATAACGACGAATAAATTTAAATTACAAATTTAACGTGAAATTATTCTTTTACATTGTACACAAAGAAAACACAAAGAAATTTACGAAAAACAGACGCGTTTAGCAAGTCATAACTTTTGACATTAAGCGTTTTTGTTAGAGACAAAATTATGAAGAAAATTATATCGGATTATAAAAAATAAAAAAAAGAAAGACAAAGTACAGTGATTTGGATAATCGTGAGGCGTGTCTATGTAAAAGCTTACTTACCTGCATACCAGGAGCCCCAGGATCAATCCCTGAATCGAAAATTGCAATGATAACTCCTCGGCCATCGTATTCGGGATATTTGGTAAGAAATTGAGTGACACCAGTCTCTTTTTTAGGTAAAAGGCCCCAAACAGGAAAATTGCAATCAATGACCTCTGCCATATTTCAAATGCCACTGCCACTGTGACTCCAGAAAAACTACTTGAGATGTTTCCTTTGTACTGCCACAGCCTTATATATCAATCAAAAAACAGCATCTGCGCCTGCGTGAGTGTCCACTGAAAATTTTGAGGTTAAGTTATCGGCCCACGATACATCAGACCAAACAGACAATAAGAAACAAAATTTGTGAAACGTTTGCGTCAGGGTGCTCAGATAGCAGCACCAACATTACATCAATAATTAAGTAAAACAGTGTTTGAAGTATTGTGAATTTCACGATAAACAGTGATGATGTAAGAGGTTATGTCCTATCATAAAAACCAGAAAATAACATGTTGGAATCGAACGCTCTTCTTCTTATCGTGTGATGCTATAATGTTAATCTATGACAAGTTCATGGGAAATATAAAGTAAATCTTCAATGACACGTGCAATGTTGAAGCATGGTCGTCACGCCACGAAAGATGAAACAGGTTGCCTTTTCCGTGATTTGTATAATATTAGGTAAATATTTTGATTGCAATGCAAATTAATTCTTCGCAGCTGTGACTGGTTGTCCTTGAGCGATAATGTCACATATCTTCTTGCAGTGTTAGGATTTTACAAAACGTTAGTCAATCCAGAAGATGAACAATCTTTTACCCGACTACATCCGAGAGATCGGAAATCTCGCTTAGGGGATATAAACGAGATTGACTCTGTCAATGAAAAAGTTCAAGAGACTGACGACAATGTACGTTACACGGATATCAAAAATATCGAAGAAGCAAAAATACGGATTCGTGAATTAGAGGGTAAATTGCAACATCTTGAAGCCAAGATTGAGAACAAGGTGTCGAAAGATTTCCCAACGGTCAAATTCCTGAACTATAAAAACCGAAAAAGGATATTGGTCACAGGCGGTGCAGGCTTCGTTGGGTCACATTTGGTTGACCGTTTAATGCTTGCTGGCCACGAAGTAATAGTTGTAGATAACTTTTTTACTGGAAGAAAGCGTAATGTTGAACATTGGGTTGGCCATGAGAACTTTGAACTTGTTCACCATGACATTGTCAGACCTCTTTACCTAGAGGTTGATGAGATATATCATCTTGCTAGCCCAGCTAGTCCACCACATTATATGCTTAATCCAGTCAAAACAATAAAAACAAATACGTTAGGTACAATAAATATCTTAGGTATGTTTACTTAGATTGTTGAGAATCCATTTAAGTAATCAATAAACATGACTATTTAATTATACATCAGGTCTTGCAAAAAGGGTAGGAGCAAGAGTTTTAATAGCTAGTACATCCGAGGTTTATGGAGATCCTAATGAGCATCCTCAGTCAGAGACTTACTGGGGCCATGTGAATCCTATAGGTATAAAAAGAAAACATTATTGCAACTATGTTCAATCAATGGAGCATGAAATAATAAGTAAAAATTCACGATTGAAATTTTTATAGGTCCAAGAGCTTGTTACGACGAAGGGAAACGTGTAGCGGAAACATTAAGCTACGCGTACATGAGACAAGAGGGTGTCTCGGTGCGCGTTGCTCGAATTTTTAATACATTTGGGCCAAGGATGCATATGAACGACGGTCGTGTAGTTTCGAATTTTATTCTGCAGGCATTACAGAATGATTCAATTACGATATATGGCAGTGGGAAACAGACGCGATCTTTTCAATACGTATCTGATTTAGTCGATGGATTAGTTGCCTTAATGGCGTCTAATTATACTCAACCAATAAACATTGGAAATCCTGTCGAGCATACAATAGAAG